AAAAAGATTAACATCCACGTACAACTTTTTTTTGATTAACATGGGTATCCAACCCGCTATGCGAGCCAACTAATCCAATGGCAACCACCTGTTTTACGGGCATCCCGGAGTCACCGCATTTGAACCTCTGTGACCACAAGAGAATCTTTATTTCTCATTGGATTTTAAACCTGAGACCTCCAGACATTTTTGACCTTTGGAGCGCAAGCTCAAACCAATCAGACACCACCCTTATTTATACATACATGAATGATGAATCTGAGAAACCAACCAAACATCCTTAGATCAGATAAAAATATGTAATTATTGATCTCAAAACCTCGTGCTAAGTTAAACTTCGATCTGTAAATAGAAACAACAAACAAAAATTAAAATTAAAATTATTGGATTTTTTATTTTATTTTATTTTATTTTATTTTATTTTATTTTATTTTATGTAAATTGTGAAATAAGATTAAAATGTGATAATATTGTCTAATACATGTTGGTTTGGAGGAATTGATGCAATTACATGAACCCAAATGTATGTGATGATTTCATGGGGTTCATAATTATAACCAACTCCACATTAATATAAAGTTTGTTTTATATTTTTGCATCTTTTAAAAAAAATAATAAATTGTATGAAAAAGTAACGTACTTTAATTTGATTTCTATTTTGGATAACGTACTTTCAAAACTTTCATTTTGATATCTAAGATGTAAAGTTTTAAACATTTAAGTATCCTGGTAAGCGGTTGAAACATTAACCAGTTATCATGCTGATGTGGTGACAAAATAAGAATCAAGTTAAAGTACGTTATTTTTTCATGAAATTTCCTCTTCAAAAAAAAAATGTCTTAGTTTCTTCCAAATATTAACTTGTAGTTTGAAAATGATACGACTTAAGATCATGTGATACCATACTCTGTTCATGAGACCTGTAAGACCACATAAATAACACTGAACCTCTACAACAAAAAGTCGTGAAGGTAAACCTTTACAGTGTTTTTGCTATGAAAGTTCGATATTTTTCGTACTTTCACAATATTTTGTTATGAAATTTCAATGTTATTTTATGGTCCTGTAGAAATAACATAGTCTCACATGAATCCAACCCAAAATGAAACAATTTCTTTTGTTATTTGTTTAATAATATGTTTTTTTAATCAATTAAATAATAAATTTCAAGCTCAATGATTCAACTTACAATAACAACATTTAAACAAACTAAATATTTGTTTTAATTGATATCTAAATTAATAATTAATTTGGAAAGAAAATGGAGCTTTCAAATGTTTTAGTTTTCGTGAATTAAATTAAATATTTGATGTTAATACAAACTAATGGACCGTTTATCGAACACTTACCCGGTAAATGCTTACCAGTAAAATTTAACATTATTATTTACTTACCGGGTAAGATTTAAGTCCACAAAAACGACATCGTATGCAACAATTTACCCGGTAAGTGATTACCGTGAAAAAAAGTTGTATTCATCCAGTGAGGTAACATGACTTAGTAAACGCTTATCCGGATAAACGTTTGATAAACGGTCCTTAAATCAATTTAAACTCAGCAGTCCTATTAACAATTGACAAATAATAATATTCATATACTTTTAATTAAAAATAATATAATATGAGATTGAACTAAGTTTATTTATCATGAATTGTTAAGTTGGGAAAACAATAATATATTTATGGTATGGGTAAAGAAGTGTCAGAATTAGGCCCAATGGGCCACCAAATTCTTTGCTTATATGACCTTTATTGTTATCACAAGGAAGTAGAGATGGCCAAATCGGGCCGGGCCGGAGGACCGAGACTAGGACCGGTTATGCAGGGACCGGTTATGGCCGGTTATGAGAAATGTGAGGACCGATTGGGACTGGTCCGGAACCGGTTTTTGGCCATCTCTACAAGGAAGTGTTATAAAGGGGTTGTGGAGTTGTTTCTCACTATTGCATGGATAATAATCTATTTGTTAATGAGACTCGTAACTTATTCGATTAGTTATACTTGATTGGTTGGTACTTGGTAGTGGCTTAATGATATGGAAAACGGCTTATTGAGTAAGCTTTTTGGGGGGGGGGGGGGGGGGCTGGGCTTTATGAAGAAAGACAAGTTTTCTTTTCAAAACTTATGTCTCCTATTTAAAAAATTTACTTCTTCCATTTATGAAAGAACTCTCTCAAACGAAAACCTTCTTAATCTATATAGACAGATACCATATGCAACTTTATCCGTACAAGACTTAATGAAAAACCAAACAAAGAACCCCTAAGATTGTCTATGTGGATTAATTTGTCTGTATAGACTGTGAATATTATTGTTTGGAAGAGTTTTTTCATAAATGTAATTAGCATGTTGTTTAACTGGAAGAGCAGGTGGAAGAACTTGACTTTCTGCATAAAACGCTCACTTAGAGGCTTACTGAATAATCAATTCACTTTCTATACCATTAAGTCACTACCAAACAGTCATGTATAGCTGACCAATAATCCCTGAGTTTTATCAAACTCATTACTTTTAAATGTCGATAATAACCATCATTGATCGATGCACCAATTTCAATGTAGAAGTCACCTTTTGTCCTAGAGGCTCATATTCAAAACGGGTTATGGCTTCTGTTATTCTTGATACGTTCAAACTTCATTTTCCGTGCTCTAAATGGATTGACTAAATAAATGTAAGAATACATATCGATTATCTAATCATGAACGTATTTCTCTAATCGCATTCTATCAAATGACTGTAGACGTTACTCACGCTATATATGATATCTTATTTTGAGCATGCAAGTCTCATATACGATATCTTCATGCACACTACGCAAGAATACACATTTATAATTAGAACGGGATTTCCAACTCATTATGGAACACAAATTTTTTTTTCCTGAAGAATTTGTCATGATATATCTGATCTATGCATAATATCATAATATAAATACAATATTTTGCAAGGAAAACAAGATAAAAATTTAGAGTCAATTTTTAGTATTCTATCTCTCAGTTACATATGATTAAATCTAACATCAAATTATACGAGCCACATAGTTAGGCTTCAAGATCATCGAGCCAAATGACGTTATTTATAATGACAACATGAAAAATACTGATATAACAAACGCATATGAACTTCTATGCAATTTTCTCATATTGGATTTGTACACTCCACGCTCCACAGGTTTATAAACTTATATCCATTTATTAGCTTTAGACAACCATAAGTTGGGTTGGGTTCACGTGAGACCACTTTTTTACATTTGAAACTTTACAACAAAACGTTGTGAAGGTAAAAAAAAAAAAAAAAAACAGAACATTTACAGCAAATATACTATGAAGATTACCTTCACAACGTTTTACTATGAAATTTAAGTATAAAAAAAATGGTCTCACGAGTCTCATAAAAACATGCTAGTCTCATGTAATCCTATGTGACCATTAGTTTCTACTTATAAATTAAGAGCCTCAATTATACTATTTCAACCAAAATCTAAAATAACACTTAACTAGTGGGCTTTAAAAATTAATTATTCTATGGGTATATTTGTAATTTTCATCATATAATACATTGTATTTAAATGAGTATAATAATTAGATAATATATTTATTAATGAAAATTATAACTCAATTTTACAAAATACAACAATCCAAAGATCAATTGTAAAAAAATATTTAAATCAAAATTGATGTTTTCATGAAGCAAAAAGCCAAAAATAGAAACAAAATATGCACATAAATAATATATATATATATATATATATATATATATATATATATATAAAGAGAGAGAGAGAAAGAGAAAATTATGTTTTTCATCTCTGCGTTGTTTACAATTCATCGTAATTTTCATCGTTAAGGTTGACTTTCATTATTGTCTTTGTGTTTAGAAAGGTTTGAAGTGATACCTATAAGCATAAGGGATGAAAACAACAATAAAATACAAAACATAAAAACAAAAACAAGAATGAATTGTAAAACACAGTTGACGAAAATAACAGTAAATTGTAAACTAGTTAAAGTGAAAGGTTGTAGTGGTAGCGACTGTTGGGCACGGTCTCGTAGTTAGGAGACTATCTAACTAAGGTAGTAAGTGCTTACGCATAAGGTTGTGCAGAACCGAATGGTCCGAAATTCGAACCCGAGAAGAAAATGAAGTGTTTGTGCAAAACCTGAATTCCCTGAAATTCGAAACCCCACAGGTCCAAAACCCCGAAATATATATACATATATATATATTTTAAATAACATATAAATATATTTATTTATCTAGTTATCTTTTGAAAATCATAGATTCTAATCAGTCGTATTATTTTCTAATTTTTTTATACCATCTATCGATTTCATCAATCCCCTCAATCAATTGAATTGACCCTCAAAATCAATGAGTATAGATTTTTTACTTCATAACGATACCCAAACCTGAGTGACCTCCACCCGATCAACTCGAGTTCAAAATCATATTCGAAATTTACCAGATTTTTGGTTTGTCCACCCGAACTCGTCCAATATACACCCTTAGTTAGGCTTAGGTAGGGGTTGTTTGGCAATTGCTGAATGGTTTGGTGCAAAATGATTAAAAGACTTTCATTATATAATGCAAAATGAAATATAATTGTTTGGTAATTATGTATAATGAAATTAGGCCTCTTAATGATTAAGAGAGATCTAAGATACAAAATCATTCAGAGGGTTTTGGAACCATTAAGAGACAGACTTTTTTCTTGTCAAACAAGATTCACCTCTTAACGATTCAGATGTTACCTCTTAAGAGAACTATTAAGAGGTAAACAGACAACCCCGTAGTCTATGGTGCAATGACAGCCATAAAGACGAAAAACATAATTTCAAAAATACAAGGACGAAAATAGCAATTTTCGACAAACTATATGGACTAAAAATGTAACTTACTCTAATATTTAATATGCAATAATAATAATTTTAATAAACATAATATAATATACAAAAACAATATTGAAAAATAAATACAACTACACCCCCTCAATAATCTAAAATTTTAAATTACAAAAAATAGAAATAAAAAATAAAACAACCGTCTACAAAATAAACAATGCTAATCCAATGGCCAAAAATATGACGTGGACCAATAACGATGATACGATGTGGGCCCCACTCGTTTCCCGGCCGCCGAACGTCGGTCCGACGGTGCTATTGCTGTCAGGGTTTGATCCGTACAACACCTGAATACCTTCAACGTCGTCCCTCGCCAGCTCCACTTTCCGAACACCGGACGATATCGTCGGAAACATGACTGCTTCTTCTATCGACGAGTGACCTAGACCTAACAGATGTCCGATCTCATGCACCGCCACCGATTCCAGATCCATCGCCGACGGAGATCCAGACGCAAAAACGTCGTCGATGATCCAAGTTTCGTCGCTGTCTAGATGTAGTAATCCTCTAGGCGGTGCAAAAGCGTGAGCTAATGTTCCGAGAACTCCGTCGAAATCCTCGCCGTCACCGTGGTTTCCTCCATAGAATCCGATCTTAAGGTCCGCAGTATCGTAGTTACTGCTTTCGGTAAATGTCAACGGCGTCCATTCCGACCACCGCGTGAAGGCGTTACCGAAAACGCGCTTAACGTCATCGGAAAGTTGATTTCTCGGATCAAACGCGTAGGTCAAATCACGACGGCGCGACGACCACCGCGGCATCCCAGGGAAAAACGAATAATGAGCTACTGTATGTCCGACCATCGACGCAGCTTTACCAGAGTTCATAGTGCTAGATCCATTAATAATATCCGCAACTCCACATCTAGGTTTTAAGATCTGATTCACCGTCGGCTCATCAAGTTCACCGGTAGTATTTAAATTGAAATTGAGCTGATAATTTTTAACCGCAGATTCAAGTCCATCATCGAAATCATCGGTGTAGTTTTTAGAGGCGTTACCGATGTATCCGAAGTAATGTAAGTAGGTTTTGAGTTTAGAAATACCTGGAACAGTCTGACCGGAATGGCAACCGGAGAGTTTGTGGAAGCTATCCCAAGCACCGGCGGTGGTGTTGGGCAAGAGCGATGGCGGAATGGAGGAAACGTTGGGGAAAAAATGGGGGAAAGCGGCGATTGAAGAGGTGAAAAGAGAGAGAATGAGGAGAAGAAGAGAAATCTTCATGGTTTGATTATGAGATTGTGAAATGGAGGTTTTGTATTTATGGAAATTGAAGAAGGAAAATGGAAGGAAGCAGCAGGGCGGCCATGGCAGAATTTGTTTCAGAAATTTTAAACAATCAAAGTGTTTTTGTCATTTTGAATATTTCTTTGGTCAAAAGTCAAACTATAATAAAAGTAATTTTATTCACACGCTTTTGCAAGCATAAATCATATATTAATAGTAAGGGGCTGTTTACCAAATTTTGTATTAAGTCCTGTATGGATAAATTTGTCTGTCTGGATAAATTTGTCTGTCTAGATAAATTTATATTGTTGTTTACTTTTCTATCTGAATCAACAGTCTAAATAACAAAAATGACCAATTTACCCCTTGAACAAAAACCCAAGAAAAAAACCTGCATCTCCAAAAACCCAAGAACAAAAACCCAAGAANGAACAAAAACCCAAGAAAAAAACCTGCATCTCCAAAAACCCAAGAACAAAAACCCAAGAACAAAAACCCAAGACCAAAACCTGCATCTCCTTCCTGAAATCGTAACCCTGCATCTCCTTTGCTAATGGTTGCTTCTCTCCTCATCTCTCTCGACTTAGATGCATCACCAAGAACAAAACCCCAAAAATCGAAATCCTAATACCCAAAATCGAAACCGGCGACCTGTCAAGGAATAACAATTTACCCCCTATTTGCTTCGTCACCGGCGACCTGTCTGAGGGAGGTTAAAAAACCCTTGCTTCGTCACCGGCACCGCCATCTCCAGTTGCTTTACCGATCGATGGAGAAGAGACCAAGGGCCTATCTCTCTTTTTAGGCTGCGACAATGGTGATGAAGCTTCTTCCTCCCTCTCGCCTGTTTGGCGTTCGCCATCTCCGGTTGCTTTGCCGCCATCTCCGGTCGCCTTCGCCGCTCTACTCGTTGCAACAGGTATGGTCGATCTCCRTCGATCGATGAATAAAACCCTATTTCTCGCTCTAAAACCCTATTTCTCTCTCTAAAAAGCTTGAGAGCAGAAGGATGTTGGATCGATGGAGAAGGATGTTGGATCGATGGAGAAGAGAACGAAGGGTAGGAGAAGTCTTTTTACCTGGCTTAACCTGGACAACACCTATTTTTCATCTGGGCGAATAAGCTCATTTCTGAGCGAATAAGCCCAAGGTAAACAGTCTTGTTTGTCTGTGCGAATAAGCCGGTTTACCCACTAAGCTCATTAAGCCACAAGTAAACAGAGCCTAAGGATAATTGTTGAATGATTTGATATAAAAAATGATTAAGTGGTCAGTATGATTAAGAGGATTTTATGATATATGTAAAATAAAATACAATTATTTGATAATTGTTTATAATGAAATTAAGGCGCTAAATGATTAAGGAAGACTCATTATGCAAAATCATTTAAAGAACTTTAGAACCATTAAGAAACGAGCTTTTTTTTTGTCAAACAAGATTCATCTCTTAATAATTTAGAGGTTGCCTTTTAATAGAACTATTAAAAGATAAACAAACAACCTCTGACTTTGTTTATTTTCTCGGTTGGAGCGAGGAGCATTTCAGTTTTTAAAGCAAATGTTTTAATGATATTGATGAAATATCTGTTGCTGTAATGGAGAAAAATAAAAAGAGTTACCGACCAGGAGCCATTTACATATGAAAAAGGAAAACCAGAAGGATGATTTTTAAACTTATTATCACAGTTCAGGTCACGTTTTTAGATTTTTCAATTACAAACTCTTAAATATGACATGTATTAGTTGCAAACTCAAAATATCACTAGGCATGAGAATGGAACGAGATGGAGCGGGGACCTCAATTCCCGGTTTGAGACAAACGGGGATCCTCATCCCCGATTTAGCAATGAATCCCCGTCCCCAACCAGGACGGGTGGACCGGGTTCCTCGATGGGTCGGGGCCTATTCTCATGCCTAAATCCAATATGTGAGATAAAATTTTCACATATATATATATATATATATATATATATATAACCTGAAGTTGATATAAAAGCAATAACAACTGAATATTTTTTTGTACCAAATACCGGTAGCTAATACTCAGTATAAAATTTTTACATATCGATAATAGTTGAATGCTATACAATACAGTTGGCAGTTGCAAAGAAGAAAAAAAATGATATTGTACAAAGTCCACTCCTACAATTTAGGTGTGTTTGGTTAGAGGTATTAGACAGTAACCAATGACAATAATAATAAAAAAAAAAACTGTTTGGTTTTATATAATACTAGAAGGGTATTTATGCAACGTCCAACCCTACAATTTAGGGGGTGTTTGGTTTTAACTAATATGTATCAATAAATATTACTTCATGCATAAAAATGATTTTTAAGAGTTTTTGTCAAATATTTTATAATATAGTATAGATAAAGGGCTCATTCCCCCATAACCCCAAATTTTAATTCCAGATTAAACTGTGGAGAAGGGAAATGAATCCCGTTATTTTCATTTTTATTCTCATTTTCATTCCTCTGACTAAACCAAACATCTCCTTAAATTCTCAAAATAAATGGTATTTAATTAAATAAAACCTTGAGATGTAATTTATATGGTAGGTAATAAATTTCATGTGTAGACTTTGACTTTTGTCTATCAACCAACCTTATATTATATGTAATAAAATGAATAGGTCGTTGGTAGGAACAACAAGTGGACGTTATCCCACGTAACTAACCATCTTCCATATTCTCTTTGTACCATTTCAATAAGCAACTATTTTAAACCTTTCAATTAAAATGTATTTTTTGAATCGTTAAGAGGTTAATCTTGTTTAGCAGAAAAAAATTCTGTCTTTCAATGCTTCTAAAATCATTTGAATGATTTTGTAACTTGAACCTCCCTTAACCATTCAGCACCTTAATTTCATTCTGAATAATTACGAAACGATTATATTTTATTTGATACTAGATTACAAGAGTCTCTTAATCATTCTGACTATTTAATCATAATGCACCAACTTTCAAACAGTCATTGATTCTTCTTGAAATCTTTTTGATCTCATAATCGTATTTATCTATCACATGTAATCAAGAAAAATGAACCGATAAACATTTACCAAGTAAATGATCCCTTAATATTTTATACCCAATAAGATCCTTCTTTTTAATTGGTCTTCTATCACATGTAATCAAGAAGATTTCTTCCTTTTTGTAATAGAAATGTTGGTGGTTGGATTTTTCTAAGATGAGAATTGAGAAACCTTCTAGATTCTACTAGAAAACATTTCTTTGGATATTAAATAATAAGATAGAAATAAAGCTCATTCAATACACAAAGTATTAACAAATCCAGTACATCCCAGACAAAACCCGTTGTTGATTACCTATGATAATTACTTAGAATCGTATGAGGAGGAAATCTAGCCACCAGAACTGTAATAAGACAGTTATCCATAGTTCGGTTCCGGAACGGACCCAAAAAAATTTTCATACGATGATACCATTTGACTATAAGAAAAAAAAAATATAGGAATTTCTTTTAAATGGTGGCACCGTTTAACTATAAGAAACAAATATAGGGATTTTTTTTTCAAACGGTGGCACCATTTAACTATAAGAAACAAATATAAGGATTTTTTTTTTTCAAACAGTGGCACCATTTGACTAAGAAAATGACACTAACATGATTCGAACTTGGGTCTAGAATGGAATAAAAGTCTTGCAAACCAACTCTACCAAATAAAACTTGTTCCCATTATAGTTTCAAAATACATATAGTGACACAATAAATTAATACAGTTGCACCTTTTACGAACCTAATTTTTTTTACCTTTCGACGGAAGAATAATACGATGGCACGTGCCACCGTAGCCACTATACTAGATCCGCCGTCCGTCTCTAGTTCGGTTCATGGTCACCCGAATTTAAGAAAATCTCATACACAATATAAAAATGGTACCGAAATATATTATATTATATATACATTATACCCGGTTCAGATGCCTATAATTCAAAACCAAAATCAGCTGGTGAATACCTGTTTTTTTGGGTTTATGTTTTACGGATCTCTCTCTCGGTTTTTCGGTTTCTCGGTTTCAGATCAAATGATTCAACTCGGTTTCATGGGACACCCCTACCTTGTATATCTCACACAAATATAGGTTCCGACACCGTTCCCATGAAGACCTCCACCCGATATCATCAAGAACCAAAACTAAGAACTATTAATACACCATTTACATATATGGAGACATAATTCGTCGTCATAAAACACAATTCGAACCACAACTTGACGATCATATAAAGAACTATACACCAAGAATCAACAGTTTAACAAAGAGATTACTGCTTTATGCGTACTCAAAACGACACACTACAACGTTTCGGCCAGATTTTCAACATATACGACAAACACGGGATTAAAATTCTACTTTTTTAAAACTAGCAATGCATAGGCCTTCCATAAGTTGGAGGAAGAGAAGGGCAATGCTCGTTCATGTTGGAATAAGGCTCTAAAGTATTGTATAGAGGTAGTTCCATACGATACTTACCGAGAATTTGGCAGAACGGAAGCTTATCGTCACCATTGTTGCACCAATTTGGAAGTCGGGTTTGGTTATTCTCAAAGATTTTCAACATATAAGCATCACGAATCTGTAAAATAGCCATGAATTAATGGTTACGGATATGTGCTCTGAAAGACACAAGTTGTAACACCCGATGTTCCAAGTAGTAGACTGACCTAATAACCTTTAAATCAATTTAAAACCATGGTGTAAGGTATTGGTAGCCCACAAGTTTATAACTCATCAAACTCAAAATTGTGGGCTACCAATAACTTACGGCTATGGTTTTAAGTTAATTTGGATGTTACTGGGTCAGCCCTTTGCTTCGGGCTATGGGGAATTACACAAAGGAATTTGAGGTTAAATGAACTAAAGGCCCATCTGGTTTAACATAATGTTTTTGAAGGATCTAGATTTCACGGAAGGATTTGGAATCTTTGGTTTATATGATTTGGAATGGAATTGATTCCATCCTTAATAAATAATTTATAAAAATAAAAATTACCTTTTTATTAATTAATTATTACAAACCAAGTGTTTTTAACATATTTTAAACAAAAATTACTAACAAATTCTATGAAATCACATAAAATACCAACTACCCTATGGGATTTCAAAATCCCATGTGGAATATCATTGTATTCTTGAGATTTCAATTCCTGACTTCCCTTTAAACCAAACACAGAATCGAAATGGAATCAAATTCCAAATCCCACCAAATCCCGCAAATCAAACAAGCCTAACTTTCAATTTCAATGTTCTTAGAAATATTCCGACACTGAATAGGCGTGAAACGAGACAACTCATAAGCTACTCGAGATTGTCTCGGTCAATACTCGACCGGAATAGCCTTGACTTGAACTCAAGCTTGACTCGACATATTAACAAGTCGAGTATACAAATACTCGAGCTCGACTCGCATCATTTATACCCCTAACACTGCACTATCAATAATGGTATGCTACGACTAGAAGAATGTGATAATTAAAGGCGTTGATTTATACCAATTTGAGTATGAAACGTAAGAAGTTTGAGTTAGAGAGTATAAAATTTAGATTCTTACAGTGAACTCAGTTACTTGAATAGAATCTGCAACAGGGCCGAAAACTCCGGCTGCTTTATACATTTGCAGAATAAAAGCAACACAAGTTGTTGATTTGCCATCGCTATACACCCATTCATCATTCTCAGGAATTGTGAGCAATTCATCAAACGATATGCCTCGCTTTTCGGTCTCTTCTAGAATTTCATACAAGTCCAAACCCTGAAAGGAAATAGATAGGCTTGAGATTTTCCCACCATAGAACTATAGATGTAGAATAACAAGCGCACACACACACACACATCATGGATAGTCACCACAACGTGTACACAATCAATAAAGAGGATTTCGGGCGCTTAATTCCACCTGACATCAAAATTGGCACCATTAACTAGTAAAATTGCCTGAGGTTCCGCCCCGCTTCCGAGAAAAATCAATGAGTGTCACCAAAGTTAAGACCAGAATAACCATTTGTGAAACAGAATGTTATCGTGGAAAGACAAAATATGTACCAACTATTAACTAACATGTTCCTTTATTAAGTAAGAAAGGTGCATAAGTTATGGCTCATTTACATAACACTTACCAGGTAAGCGCTTACCCCAAGAGTCAATACCTTCACTTACCTTATCGGGTAACATTCCCGGCCATCAAAATGGATTGATGATAAGCGTTTATCACCCGGTAAGTGCTTACCTAGTAGGAGTCACCACCCTCACTTACCGCATAACACTCTCAATCTTTGCCTTCCCTCTTACCAAGTAAGATTCTCAGTCCTACCAGGTAAGATAATTGACCCAGTAAGTGCTTACCCAATAAGTGTTTGGTAAATGGCCCTTAGATGGTAAAGTTCGGCAATTGCTACATATTGGCCCTGAACTGATATGTTGGCCCTCATGACTTTTTACTTGGTTTAAGTGCTACTCTCTTCGTCCACAATAATGCAATATTCAACCACGTACATGGTTCGATTAAAAAGTTTTGCTATTAGTTAAGAATCGAAAATACCCCTTAAACTTCCAAAGTAAATCCATTGCTATCTTTATCTTGTAATGAACATCCAAAAAGAGAAGAACTAGCATTTATCTTGTGCAAGAGGTTGTATTAAACTTCGGAGAAAAAACACCAGTGCAAATAGAGTTTCTAGGCAATAATACCACTTTAAAAACAGTAAAACAGAATATGAACTTCAAGAATGGCGCAATTACCTCTGTCCCAAGACGCATATTTAGAGCTTCGTTCCACATATTGGCAGCATATGCTGGCTGCATTCTAGTCCACATAGACATGACAGAAATCACCTGCAATATATTTCGGTACTTCAACAACAGGCAATACGTAGTGGGAACTACTCTAGCCCCCGTTTCTACAACAATCTAAAAACGGCAGGGACAAAGTTAGGACTTGTAGAAAAACGGTTACAATGGTAGCTAGGGTGGTTCGGCTTACAATTTTCTACCTTTATCCATTATTTGTCTGAACTTTTTCCTTATAAATGGTGCTTTTATCCTTGTTTGTATGAGATATTGAAAATTCACAAGATACAATGAGAATCCTAGGATGTACCTAGATGTAACATAAATATTGTGTGATTGAGTTTTCACTCACTGCAACTATTAGGATACGTATGATACACTAAACATGAAAGAACGGAACAAAACGGAGATCACTATTCCATGTTCGGCAAGACTTTTATGTGGAAAAGACAAGAACAGAGTGGAACAGGCGTGTTCCACCCCCACCCCATGGAACAAGATGGAACAAACCTGTATTTTACCAATATAACTTCCAAATAAAACCTAATTCTTTTCTAAAACATCAAATATGTCTTCCTCTTTACATTTTATTCATTCTTCAAATTTAATTATTGTATTTTATGCTCTAAAAACTTACCATTTACCGTCCTCGAAATATTATTTTTATACGGTTTCTATATTTCGATTAATTTATATAATTTATTAAATACTAATAATAATTAAAAATTGTATAAAATGAGGAAACTACATAAACTTTTTATCTTGGTGTCATTTTAATCATCTTGACGGAAACTTTCTAATGAAATATTTTGTTATAAAAACTATCTATTTTATTATAATTTAATAATTAGATAAATTAATCAAAATATATAAACAAGGGTAAATTGATCATTTTATCTATTTTGTCTTGTTCAGTTCCGTTAAAACAAATGCAGAACAACTATCCTATCCTGTCTGGATACCAAACGTGAACATGTGTTTGCTGGTTGAGTGTTGATGCTAACAAGATAAGAGTTTGGCAAAAAGATAAAATAAGTATGCAGGTAGCACTATGATGGAGGCTAGAATGAAGTAGAAATACAAACTCTAAATTGACTAAACGTACCAAGTGAGCATCAATAGGTGGCGGATAGTTATCACCAATTGTGTCAATCCAACTAAAAATCATGTTATGATAGCCATACGGCTTGCCGGACATGCTCTGAGCATATTCCCATGCGGCGGTGTTGTTCCACTTCGCACGTATCTCAGGATGTAACGGTAGCAAAGCTATTTGTGGGTTAGATTCATCCTTAAGTGCCAAATCCCACCATTCATCCCATGGAATTACCACAATAATTTCTTCACCCTACAATAAGACCAAGATCCAACAATAAAGATAAAATACTCATGAAAGAACCAAGGGTCTGTTTATTAGCAGCTTAATGAGACTCAAAGCTTATTCGGTCAGTTATACATGACTATTTGGTAGTGGATTAATAATATAAAAAATGGCTTATTCAGTGAGCTTCTAGGAGTGAGCTTTATGCAAAAAGATAAGTTGTTTTCAAAACTTCCCCTCCCAATTAAAGAACATATTCATTCCATCTATAAGAAACCCTTTCAAACAAAAACTTTTCCAATCTATACAAATAGATTAATCAACATGGACAACTTTATCCATACATGACTTAATGAAAAACCAACCAAACAGCTCGCATTACATACTCTCTCTTTTCGCATGAAAATTGCAGTTGTTCCTTTTCCAATAAAACTGATTTGGGTCTACAAAATTTCTTTATTTGTCTGAATTTACTTAAATTGTGTGTCAAAAAACTGTTGTAATTCATGGGATGGAAGGAGCAAAACAAATTGTTTGGTTGGTTTTCCATCAAGTCCTGTATGGATAAAGTTGTCTGTGTGGATTGTTTTGTCTGTATAGATTGGGAATGGGTGTGGTTTTTAATTGGGAGGGGCATGTTTGGAAATTTTTTGGCTTTCTGCTAAAGCTCCCCCAGAAGCTTACTGAATAAGCCACTTTCCATATCATTAAGCCATCACCAAAGAGTCATGTATAGCTGATTGAAGAAGCTATGAGTCTCATTAAGTTGCTAACAAACAGTTATCATGTTTGTATGAACTTCAGATCTTCAACTCCTTTACCTTTTCATTCTCGTGTCCTGATTCCCCAACCCAAAGATTGCCAAAGTCATCCTTCATACAGACAGCTGTATGACCAGCAAATGCCCCCGTAACCCACTTTTCCAATGTTTCAAAGCCACCCCATCGTCCACGGATCTTTGACACAGCTAGAAAATCACCAGAATGGACATCATTTGGATTAATAGTCGCACGCCAAGGCTGAGGACGAGTCTCAAAAGTAGCACCCATGTGATTCTTCAGAAAAGCAAGGTTAGCATTTTGGCCCCATTTTGTGTTGGAAAACAGAGGCAGAACATCAACCAAAGAGAGCAATGTTCCTAGCATTCCAGAAGGCATCAGAAACACAGAGACTCCATGCTGCTTTACCTAAATATCACCATCGTAACATGGTAAAGTTAAATCAACAACACCAAAGTTACAAGATCACAAATTTGCAATTAGTGTGCGCAGAGTATACATATTCCAACTCTGCTGTTTCCTCCCAAGAATCAAAAGTCAAAGTGTGTTCTCGAGCTGCGAAGTAGTAGTCCCAGGTAATCCTGTAGGGCGTAGCAAAGACATAGAGATCCATACATGTCCAACTGTGTGCTTCAGCAGTCTGTAGAATGAAAAATTATAAGCAAAAACAGGATCCAAAACAATACAATTAAGACTTCTATTCAATGTAGTGTTCATGCCTCGAATTTCAGGCCAAAATTGCATTCAACCGATTCTCTCAAACTGGTATATAAACTTATATTTGTTGGGTAGTTGACAACCCTTTCCATCTAACCATTAAACCCATATTGAAAGCTAGAAACTAGCATTCTACTCGAAGATCACACAGTTTCTATGTACTTTGTCAAAATTGCATCTGGCCGATTGCATTTGCTTTTTTGCCAACTCGGCCTACGAAGAACCTGTTTTTTTTTTTTTCTGTCATTCCAAACAATAGTTGTAGTCAATGAGCTTCTTGAAGAAGATGAATAACGATTTTATCCGCTGTTGCTTTTTTGTTCTTGTTCAAGGGACTGTTGAGTTGGTTTTTCATTAAGTGCTGTATGATTTCCAGATTAAGCCACAACCAAACAGCCACTTATGGCTCAGCGAATAAGCTATATAGGTTATATAGCCCATTAAGTCACAACGGAACAGCCCCTAAGTGGATTAAACTTCTAGAATAGTTAAGCTAGGCACTCCATCATTACGAAGTTAAATATTAGAAGATCAATTAGTATTACTATACTATCTTCAACTTCAATTTCTTAATAAACGAAAGCAAAACAAGATTAAAAGTAAACAAATTAAACTTACGTCAGTTTAATTAAACCTAAGGAGGAAATCCAAACCTTGAGATAGATGATACCGCCTCCCATACCACGATCATCCCCCTCAGTGAAATCCATACGAGCTTCATTCCCGTTGAAACAAGCCCCTTTCCACTCAAGCGACCCATTATTGGGAGAAATCGTCCCGACGAAAGACGGCAACAAATCCACCGCCTTGCCAAAATTGTTCATAACAGGCCATGAAATTTGACGTGGTAGAACAGGCAAAACATCGTTAACTCTAAAAGGCAACTTCAAAGCATCCCCAAATTCCGATACAGACCCTAAAATCAATCCTAGAATACACAACACTCTCCATAACCACATCATCCTTGATTGCATCATCGAACTTGTGGAAATTCTCAAAGAAATTGTTGATTAGGTGCAGTGGTATTAACGAATTTGATCCATTGAATCGATTTGGTCGAGGAGATCGATGAAGTTGGGGTTGAATTTTACGGTGAAGTCAAAGTTCGTACAGCGTTGTGGGCATCGAGATAGTTTGATCGGTTGATTGGAAGTAATGATGAGGTTTATCTTATTGTTTCGAACTAAAAGAGTATAATTTTCAGTTTTGGTACTTGTAGAATGCTCTACTTTACACTCCACCACCCTACAAAATTTTCAAGTCAAGTAAACCACCCTAAGCACACGACACCGTTATTTTAGGTAGTGTTTAGTATGGATATTAGATATGACAGAACTAGATTGGACAAATTGTTTGCATTGCATTTTACAATAATTAGAATAGAAGATGACAAAACTGTTAAAATGATAATATTGTCATAAAAAGTTATTTAAGTAATTTTATTTATAATTAATAATTTTATATTATATATATATAGTTAAATTCAAACGAAAACTTTAACTAAAGAATATAATAAGAAAATGATCGAATCAAATTTGATGTTACATTATAAATCACATGTGATTCACGTGACTTTAGCCCCGATATGAGGCTACGAGTCATGTTGTTCGCACACTTTTGCGTTGATTATTGGTGGAGAATCACATKTGATTTTGTATGCAATTTGATCGTTTTCATATTCTTTTATTTGGCTATTTTTCTCGTTTGAACATCCCACCTCTCCCTCTCTCTCTCTCTCTACACACACACACACACATATATATATATATATATATATGTGTGTGTGTGTGATCTTGTTACACTAGAAAGAATGTTTTCCAAATTTTTAGGTGGAACAATAATAATTCATTTTTGCCTCATTTTATTCTTGTCCCTTGTCCTGCCAAAGAGAGACCATCTTTTCATACCATTCTAGCCATTAAGCCGTTGTTTAACTTTGTTTGACTTTTTAATTTCTTTTCAAAAAAAAATACAAATTTTAACTTTTTACTTCGTTAAATATAACACCATTTTAAGTTCTATATATACAATTTTTCTTTTTCTACATGATTTTAAATTATTATTTATAATTAAGTAGAAAACACACGTATATACACAAATTACATTTACAAGACTTGTATTAAACTACACCTTGAAAAACATCTTGATCTCATTGTAAATTTCTGGAACGCTTATTTGGTAAGTGTTTATGAGGTCAATTTACCTTATTGGATGGACATGATAAGGATCGTTACCCAGTAAGAACGATAACAAGGACAAAGAGTCTTACCTACAAAGTGCTTATTGGATAAATTGTTTCATAAGATGCCATTTTAATAGACTAAAATCTCACCCGATAAGTTAAGTGAAAGTATTTTGAAATATCAAAACAAATTATTATTCGTCTTAAGATCAGTATGAATAGTCGTAGGTTATAAGTCAAGTCTCGATTGAAAATATAAATAGAGAACAAGGGGAGTATACCAAATGCTAACCAAAATCAAATTACAGAGAACAAGGGGAGTATACCAAATGCTAACCAAAATCAAATTACAAATGAACATGACAAGGATCAAGAATCACATCTGTTAAGAGCATTTTAGATCGAAAATCACATTACCGAGAGTCTTACCAAATAAGTGAGGGTTACGATTCTTACCCAATGAATGCTTACCGGATAAATTGTTGCATACGATGCCGTTTTTATGGACTAAGATCTTACACGATATGATAAGTGATAGTGTTTGAATCTTACCAGTAAACACTTACCGAGTAAACAACCCCTAAATCATTTGTACACATGCTCACAATTGGTTAGCATTTAGATCGAATAACTAACTATATATGATTTCTTTAAAAGATACATCATTGATTGTTGGCAAAACTTTCATCCACCTGATGCAAAAGGCGATCCAGAAGGTTATTTTTGTGGTTGTACCGTAACAGATAATGAAACAAGATGGCAATATTCCTAAGGACAACCAGAAAAAGTACACTAGGCCGAAAAAGAATGTGGTTGTACAGGTAGCCACTGGCACCCCCTAAATCCGCCACTGGCTAGATATTTCCCTTGTGGATACGGCCATACGGGTGGGTGGTATTAGTCTACGATAAAGGAGCTTTATGTAATTTAGCACAAGGACTAGGGGCAAATTTGGTATTTGATATGGGAATTTCAACTAGGGCCGTCTATTAACATGTTAAATCTTGGTTTTTGAACAAAGCCTCCAAAACTTTGGGGCCCAATTTATTTGCACTTAGGACCCGAATTTATATACTCCAACCTATGAGCCCACCTCAATGAAAACATATCTAATTTATTTCAAAATCAAAATCAACTGCTTAGTTTCAGAATTCACCAATCAAAAACAAATATGATTCTTCGATAATTTTTCTGACTTTGTCATTTTAAACAATTATGTTTATTATTTCAGTTTGGTTATTATTTATTTTAGACGATCTATAATTTTGGTATGGCTGTATCAGTGTCAGGACTCCAAAAAAACTGGGACGGCCCTGATTTTAACCTAAAGATGGAGAAAATTGATACCTGTTCAAATAAGGCCTCAATTTATATCCCAAATAGAAAGCAATTTGAGTAGCATGGAAGGGCCAGAACACTGTCTTCAACAGCTAGAGGCTGCCTAAATGGGTTTAGCTGAACCTGTGGCAAAATCATACCATCTTTTAGTATAGTATTATACAAAAATTAAAGAAAATAAAAAGAAACTCCAATCTTAAATGTCTACATTTAATTGTTACAAAATAATAATCTTGTAGACCGGCAATGAGCGACAACTCAGTTGCAGTCATAGACTGACCTAGAAATTTTTTAGAAAATCTCTTTTGTGGGTTCCATGCATTTTTTAAACAGCAATAATTATTATATGTTTATAAACAAATATCAAATATCTAATTTAAAAAACTAGTAAGTTTTCATTTCACACCAACTTCAAGGTAAATATCAAAGTTCTTGTACAAGAACTCAAAGGGGGTGAGGTTCTAATAAGAACTCCCCACGACGTTGGTCTTTGTAAGAAGCTACACTTTTTACTTATAAGAACCTTACATTAGAGATGCTCATTTTATGGGTCCCATGTATGATATAAGTTAAATAAATAAATGCATATTAATAGTTATATAAGATATAACAATCAAAGGCGAAGGATCGCGTGAGGAGAGTTAAAAGTGAGAAGCATAAGAAGGGATTTGGACCCTTGATCACTTTTAATCTCTTGCCTACCCATGAATTGCATTTCTTATGGGAATTGATCCGGTGCATTTCATCTTAATGTGCATCAAAGGGTGGAGATCCCTTCTTACGCTTCTCATTATAACTCTCTTGAGTGAACCTAACCCACAATCAAATATATATATATATATATATATATATATATTGTATATAACTAATAAAATCTCACTTACACCAAGTTCAAGATGAGAACCAAGGTTCTTGTACAAGACCTCAAAGGATGTGAGGTTCTTACAAGAAATCTCTCTGATGGCAGCTTTTATAAGAACCTATTCTTTTTGCTTATAAGAAACTCCAATTGGAGAAGCTCTAAGGTCAAACTTACAGTTTTGGTTTTTTGAAGTTGAAAAGTGAAAATCTACCATATTCAACTATGTACTTCTCTTTTATCAACATTGTCTTAAGTACCCTTCAATAATGCCTAACTATGCAAGACTAATGGACCAAAAAGAGTATGATCAATTATTAATGATAGAAAAGAGCAGTAACTTTAAATCATGCACTTCCCAATAAAGGAAATATTTCAATTTTCATGGTCATCCAGAAATGGCAATTGTTGCCATCTTCATTGAACGGATGTGGTGCTAGTATTTAAGCAAACCCGTAAAGAAAAAGAACTTACAGGAATTGTGGGTGGACTACCGGTCACAGAGCTTATACAATTAGCTGCAAGATGACAAGCTTCTTCACAGTAATCAGAGAAAATGGCAGGGATTTCTATTTCTCTTATAAGCTCCTGTAAGTGCAATGTGAACTTTGACTTACAGCACTACCACATGCAAAAATATATACCTCCCTCTGTCCCAAAACAAATGTCCATATGAAAAAGATATAAATTTTGATCTTGACATGTCGGTGGTTTTTAACCGTAGGCATGGAAGTAATGAAAAAGAAAAAGTTATGTAGTTGGACCATCTGGCTTCCTTGCATTAAAGCACATTCCGGGAGTGAAAGGTAATTAAGTAAATGGCAATTTTACCCTTTATAATAGAGAGAGTAATGAATTTCTCCATCTCATATTTAGGGTAGAATTGGAAAATAGACGCTTACTTAGGGTGCATTTGGTATTTAAACAGACAAAACAGAACAGGACTATACAGGACAAGACAGAATGGAACAGTTGTTCAGCGTCTGGTAAGACAAAACAATGCAGGACAAAACAGATAAAATGATCAATTTACCCCTAATGAGTTGTTCATATCTTTTATATATTTTTATTACTTTATGCAATTTATTCAGTTATAATAACATAAACATTTTTATAACAAAATATATCATTACAAAGTTCTCGTCAAGACGATTAAAATGACACCAAAATAAAAAGTTTATGTAGTTTCTAATTTTTATTTTATACCTTTTCTATATTATTATTTTCTATTAAAATATTTAATAAATTACATAAATTAACCAAAATATAGAAACCATATAAAAATAGTATTTTGAGAACAGTAAAGTGATAGTTTAAAGAGCATAAAATACAATAAATAAAATTTAAATAATTAATAAAATGTAAATAGGGAGACGTATTTGATGTTTTAGAAGAGAATTAGGTTTTATTTTGAGATTATATTGGTAAAATATAGATATGTTCCATCTTGTTCCATGGGGTGGGGGTGGAACACACCTGTTCTACTTTGTTCCACATAAAATTCCTGCCAAACATGGAACAATGATCTTTTTTCTGTTCTCTCCTGTCTAGTGGACCAAATGCACACTTACTTTTGAAAGTGGACACTTGTTCTAAGACAGTAAAATAGAAAAGTGGACACACATTTTGGGACGGAGGGGGTGTCACACATAGATCAAAGACATACGATAGTCGGAAACCAGCTTTTGTATGCAGCGATACCAGCATTTGGAGCAATGATTAACTCGGGTAGAAATTCCTGTCCGTAAAGAAGCAGATTCCTTATGAAGATTGTTATTGAGAATCTATCAAGTAAAATACTATCAAAACTATGCATATATAACCTTGGTGAGTTCTCGGTAGCGATCATGATAACAACCTGAATGAAGCCTTATACTAATCGCTGAAGATTTATCAGAAGTTGCGTGTGAACTGAATTCACCTTTGCCAGATTTGCAACTGCAGTTTGCATCCAAACAATGTGCATAGCTACAAAGACTGATTGTCTCGCCATCCCTGTGTGCCAAAATGGAAAATGACACAATGAGGCATGAGCACCATCTAATTCATGGGAATCTATCAACAGAAAATGATGATAGATAGTATGAATTTTATTACATAACGAAACAGAAGCCGTGTTGATGTAAAGGGTGCTTTAGACAGCTCTCAATCTCAAGGCATAATTTCTTCCCCACCCCTAACTCCCCAAAAAAAGAAAAACTAAAAAAATTCAAGTTGATTTCTAATCAAGAACAAGTTAGCATTCATCACCTATAACGCATCTACTCTTTTCCTTGTTAACAGGACCACAAGATTTCCACAGCAAACCTAAAACTATCCACTAAACAAGTTTTATTTAATGCAAGTTTATGAAGATCAAGTAGAAACTATGCAAGWTTAAGAAGATCAAGTAGCAACTAGTAAAAGTAGAAAAAGAAAAGAAAAATTAATTATTTTTCTTAAAATTGTGTGATATTGATATGCAGCAATTTCAATAGAATCATAAAATCTTACAGAAGAGCAGATGTAATAGGAATCATAATCATCTTATATGGTGCCTAATAGTGCATTAAATGACAAAGATCTATCATCAATATAACTTGAAATAAACCATGCCAAATCAGACGTAAAAGACTTTAAATACTTAAATTTGATAATCAATTGAGCACATAAGTTAAGGAGCACAGTCTTGCTCATGAATCAAAGTTCACATAATAATGGTAGGCTGTCTTCCATTTGAAGCCAGGCCACTCATTTAAATCTTTTGCATTTTTCTTTTTCATCACTACAAACCAAATCTGTTAGCCAAATAAGATGCTGACCTATCATGTGGAACAGAAGGTCCAACAAAATCTATATGCACTTGAACTCCAGGAAGCAGAGCATGTAACTCCCCAAAGACAGCAAGTTGATAAAGTTCCCTCTCCGGCCCTTCAGAAAGGCAATCCATTAAGCAAAATGAAGAATCAGCAACACAAAATTGATACACCAACTACTTAGCGATGGCATTGGGAGCCAAAATGATTATGGAGATTAGGAAATGCCATTTCATCATGTTTGAAGACATGTAAAAGAGCATCCACAAGATGTATGTGTGTGTGTATAAAAACTATGTCAAATGCCATTTTATCATGTTTAAAGAATGTGAAAAAGCAATAAGCTGAATTGGGTTATAGAGAGTAGGAAGTGATTAAAATACCTAGGTAGTGTATGCACAATTCATCAGTGGTTGAAGGGATCAATTGTTTCTCAGAAGCAAGTTGAATGGCCTGATATATGGTCAATGGCTGAAAAGAGATCAAAGTAGTAGTAGTAGTAGTTAAGGCGAAAGAGAGGTAAATATAAAAATTTGCCCGTATGCAACTAGCAGCTACATCTACTACATACATTCTATGAAGCATCTATTTTTATGATTCATGACAAGTAATGCACTTTCATGCTTGATATTTGTCTTATTTAGACATCCACCAGACCAGACATATATAAACTATCTGATAAGGATTTTAGCAAGACACTGATAGTACATAATTAAACCAACTAGCAAGTGAGCAAGCATGCATTACCCAGTGAAGAAGCACAGCAACTGGAGAATCTAATGGGATGCCTCTCCATTCATAATAGTCATTCCAACTATATAATTGGTTCTTTAATATAGACAAAGGCCCTGCATGTTGAGTTTGTGTATAGGAGCTTTGAGAAGCAAATGCAATTAATTGGAAGCTACATGAACTGAAAAATTAGAAAAATATACCTCTACAAGGGCATAATTGACTTGAGAGACTCCAACACTTATCAGACCTTCCAATTAAGTGAGTAAGACAATGAGAATTCATGGGTAATTCAATCATGTCAGTAGCTTTGTATTAGGATAAACTAGAACCAAAAGCTTAGGACCGCCACAGCATTAATACATCATTGAAAATTGTTGCATTTTACACATCATACGCACTCATATATAGTACCACACGTTCAGATTATATTCCCTCTTCCCCATAAATAAATATAATGATTTCCTTTCTAACTATGGGTATTCGTATCCCAAAACAAATGTAACATTTTCTTTTTCCGAAAAAGTTTCAATCCAGAGTCACCTTAATTTGTCAAAATTTAGGCGTAATTTAGACATTTGAATAATAATCAAAATCAATTAAATCATGTGCTTGCTAAATGTGAGCATTTATTTGGGAAAGAATGAGTCTAACAATCGAGACTTCAGGGAAAAGAAGGGTAAAAGAGAAACCTGAAATTATCCAACAAAGTAACTGAAGCCCCACAAGTACATTCACAGATCCAGAATCCTACATAGTGGACCGCCATATTTTCCAAGAATGAACACCTAGTCTCCACCTTTTCACACACCTGCAACAAGTCAGTCAACTGAAACAATTATAATTACCCAAAGCCCTTGAAGCTTCTTTGGTTAAGAGAACACTGTAACGTTAAAACAATATATTCCCAATCATGTTTTGTTTTGGTAAGAGTGACTCGCAATGAAATTTTTTCTTCATGAAAATACATAGTTCATATCAATTTTGGAGTCAAAAGTTGGCCAGTTTGGCCTCATAATCTAACTACATAAAGTAATTACCTGATAAGTAGCTCCTTGGGAGAAAGTAAAGGGGAAGTCGTTTAGCAGCTCCACAGCACACATTTGTCGTTTCAGTCTTCCACATTCTTCTTTATGAACTCCCCAGTGTGATATCTTACACAAAATGAATAGAAACACACTTAATTATCGGTATCAAATTAAGGTAATTACATAGCAGAAGTGCTCATATAACGCATAGCCATGGCAGAACGGACAAACAAAATTACTTAATTGATTATAGGTATCAAATGAAGTGATCCACAGAGCCGAATTGGACATATAGTGCATTAAGACGACCTACTTCTACTTGAATTTAGCAACAAAACTAGTCACAGGAATCAATTTAAAACAACAGACAGAGTAATAAGTGCGAATTTAGGGTTCTTACGGAGGTTTAAGCACCTTAAGAGATTATGATTTGTGTGTATGTGTGCGCGTTTAAGTAGAGAGACTAAAAACCTGATGTGCAACGGAGCAATAGGAAACGGCACCACAACCGCCGCACCGGCGATTTGCTGATCCCGAGCACCGCCGTCGACTTCCCTTCGCGGCACACTCCATGTTCCCGGTTTAGCTCAAAACCGACGTGCCACGGAGTGTATTTTTTAAAAACATAATTCACTTGGACCCCTCAACTATGACATATTTTACATATTTGCCCCCTATTTTTTAAATAAATAGCATAAGATCCCCAAACTAATTGTCTTTGTTCCAACTAATACTAACCATCTTTAATTTGGCTTTCATGAGATATATCTTCACAAGTTGAATGGTCTTTGAGGTCCATGTTTTTGGACATATTTTTATACTGATTTTGTAATATACGAGGACGTGGATTCATGTTTACAGAAGACTTACAGCAAAAGTGGACGAGAAACTTGATATCCACGTCATCCAATGTGACATCGACAGATTATCAGTCAAAATGGGTAAAACATAATCTTTTTGAAACTGTGTTATCCTTATTGAGAAAAAAGATTCTTTATCAGATTAAATAAAAACCAAGTGAAACCTGGTTACATTTTAATGCATTTTGTTCTATCAGCAAACACAATGAAAAAACTCAGGTAACAAAATTCTGTAACAAACCCAATTCGACCCAACCAATTGATCCACAAATTACTATTGAAATCAATCACAATCAAACCCATAATTTACAAAATGTTGTGATCCAAAGATTCAATCATATGTGAAACCTTTTATTTCTTCCTATTTTCAACATTATTATGGGTCATAACTTGTTTGGAAGCCCATGTTCATTTTTCATACTAATGGGTTGCCTTATGTGCCTATAATGAGATCCACCTACCGAAGGGCCTATGGTCTAACGGTAGTAGGTGAATTTTTGACATCCTAAGAGTTGGGGGTTTAAACCTCATAAAAAATGAGAAGGGTGTATGAGTTTATTTCTTCTATTTACCGTATATAAATATGATATATTTCAAAAAAAAAAATGAGATCCACTTAGGTTCCGTGTTGGGGTTTTTTTTTTTTTTTTTTGATTAACTTGGATATCCAACCCGCTATGCGAGCCGACTAATCTCAGGGCGACCACCTGCTTTGCAGATAGCCTGGAGTCACCGCATTTGAACCTCCATGGCCACAAGGGGATTTGTATTCCTCCTTATATTTGAATCTGAGACCTCCTGATACTTTTGACCTTTGGAGCCAAGCTCAAACCAATCAGGCACCACCCTTGTGGTTAGTTCCATTTGGTTTGCAGTAATGAAATAAAATTGGGAGACTTAAATTTCGAATTTATTCCAATCCCATATTTAGTTTGTTGGATTGTCCGGATTTAAAATCTTAGGATTTAATTGAAATTCTACAAAGACAGGATTTCGAAATCCTTAGGGGTGCTCGTGATTTCATAGGATTGTATGCAACAAGGTTTTAAAAAATACTAAAGACATTTGTTTTGTAATAATCGATTAATAAAATGTAATTTAATTATTTTTATATTTATTTATAACTTATGTATAAATAATGGAATCCAATTCTGTTCCAAATCCTACAAACCAAACATACCAATGATTTCAAATCAATTTCAATCTAAATCCTTCCATGAAATCCAAATATCTCAAAATCAATCATGAGAGTCCGTTTAATATGCAAGATTGGATTTATTAATATTTTAAAATATGTTAAAAACATTTATTTTATAATAATCAATTAATAAAATGATAATTTAATTATTTTTATAATTATTTATTATGATGGTTATATGGATGATGTCAATTGGGAAGTTATCAAATAATGGTGAGGTAGAGCTAATGGACAATGAAATAACAGATGAAAAGGTTGTTTTCTGAATTCTAAAAGATTGAATATTTAAAGGTATGTAACTGATATTATAATTAAACACCATTCTTTGAATAACAAATAATTTATAAATAAAATAACGGCGTTTATCAACTCTTAGCGAGTAAGTATTCTCTGGATAAGAGTGTTGATCCGAGTAATAAGTGTTGCAATAACCAAAGAGTCTTTGGCCTAGTGGTATATGAGTCTTTGGTCTCCTAGGAGATCTGGGGTTCAAACATCACCAAAGACGAAGAGGGTGTGTAAGTTTATTTATTCTATTTAATGTATATAAATATTATATAAGGGTGGTTTACACAGTTTATACAAATAGGATTGTTTGCATTTTATCGCTCACCTTTGATCTTACATGATTTCAAGTCTCTATAATATATAATATATATATACACCAATTAGTTGTTAAGAGATGGGAAGAAAAATAAATAGCAATTTCTTAATTTTATTCGTCTCTTACCTTCCTCTTTGCTTCCAACACCATTCGATCCTCGGATTCCATATTCCATACTTGTAATGCTGGAATTGGACATGTCTTCCTTTTCCTTTTCCTTTGCTTATCCAACATTGAAAGCAATGTCTATGAACACAATTCCATTGGAATATGATTCCCTTCAATCGCAAAATGCCATTGCTACCATCACATGTGATAAAAACCCACCATACAAAATTCCAATTAATTTCCCTTCCTAAAATATTTTAAAATTATTAATTCTCTTCACAGGAGCATATGCTCTTACTTAAATCATATCATAAGAGCAACTAGCCCACATGAAATTTGACCATTTTCCAATGTATAGTAAAAAAAAACTATAAACATAAAATATCATATATAATATATACACACACACGTGTGTGTGTTTAATCATTTGAAAATGTAATGTATATTTATATGTATTTGTTACAGGATGTTTGTGTTATATGTATTTGGTTCACAATGTAAAAAAAATTTGTTTCACAAACACATAAAAACGTTCATATTGTTAAACATATATGTGTTGATCAATACACTAAATTCAAGCAATAGACGGGGAAAAAAATCATGTGAAATAGCACATGATGCAATATATATATATATATATATATATATATATATATATATATATGAAATAGAGAGAGAGAAGAGGAGAAAAAGAGTCAAGTTCATACATAAACAGTAACCAAATAAGAGATTATGGAAACAGTTGAATCTCATGTATTTTACAGTGAAGCACATGTGATTCACGCGATTTAAGTCGAGGTCACCTCGTCCAAACATGCTTTGACTATTTAGTATAAAATCATATGTGATTTTGCACGTGATTTGACCATTTTCGTGTTCTTTATAATTAATTACTTTTATATAATTAATAGCTTTTATTTATGCCTAAGACGTGATATTTTAAATAAGGCAAATTGTATGAAAAAAATAACGTACTTTAACTTGATTCATATTTTGGGTAACGTATTTTCAAAACTTCTATTTTGGTACCTAAGATGTAAAGTTTTAAACATTTAAGTACCCGAATAACCGGTTAAGCATTAACCGGTTACCATGCTGATGTGGTATCCAACTCAGTATAAAATTTTATTTAAATGTTTCAACCTAAAGGTAAGTCAAATCACTCGCCACATCAGTATAGTAACCGGTTAATGCTTCAACCGGTTACCCGGACACTTAAATGTTTAAAACTTTACATATTATGTACCAAAATGAAAGTTTTAAAAGTATGTTACCAAAAATAAAAATAAATTTAAAATACGTTACTTTTTTCATGTAATTTATTATTTTAAATACTTGTACATGAAAATAAATTATACACTATGATTAAGTCTTGAGAAAAAGAGAAGCAATTTGAAAAAGCAATTGAAACCCACTTCCAAAGCTAAGCAAAAGGAGTATTGACACATTCATTTCCCCATTACCTTTGCCTTTCAATTATTGCTATCCATCCAATCATAACCACACCCACAAAAGAATTCAACCAACATTTATTATTTTCTATTGTAATTTACTCAAAATTAAAACAGTATGCATCGTACGTACAGTACAAGTTACGATATCAGTTAGACGGAGACGTTGACAAGCTAAACGCCGACCAAATGGTACATAAACTGTTTCAACCAGTATTTGGCATGCCTTGAATTTGTCACGTGAATCTTGTCATGTATGATGCAGTGTTGAGCAATACGCCTTGGTATCAGATACGAATAGTCGAATAGAGACAACTTCAGTTGTTAACTTATAAATAGTACAAACTTTATTATCTAATCTCAACCATTGATGTGTTTAATCGACGGACAAGATTGTTTGGACGTACGTGAAATTTGAAGAACATATGTGAACAAAGGTAAAGTTGTAAACTTCACAAATCCATTGTTTTAGGCAGTTACTCCACATAGAGGGGTACAGAAAGTCATTTGATCCAATTAAAACCGACTGATCCAATTAGAATCAACCCACCATAATCGGATATCCAATTGTTATTGGATCGGATCGGATCCAAATTTTCAACATCCCAATCGGATCCATCAGTTCTTGGATGGCCGTCCAACATCCAATCAGTAATAAATATATATAATTATTAACATTTTACAATATTGTTTTTTAGTTGATATTTATATACATTGTTTTTTAATAACTTAAGAAAATATATGAATAACTGGTCAAAATGGTGGATTAATTGGTTGAGTATTAGATCAGAAGATTGGAGGAATCCAATCCGATCCAATGGATAACCAACAAACATCCAATGGATGGAACCGATCCGACCCAATCATCAATTGGATTTGGATCGGATGTGATGTCCAATGTTAATCGGATTGGATCGGATCAGATCCACCTAAATCCATTGGATTTCAACCGATGAACTCCCCTAAGCTCCACATGTCTAAAAGTTCCTTATCACAGTTAAAGAATCATATCAATTCCGATTATACTTCCGCTATCTATTTGGGGAAACATGATCTTCATAGCCGAAAATCAATTTCCTTTTGAATAACATGGCTGATTTTGAAGGAAATGTTGACGGAAACATCTGAATACGAGGTAACCAAACACTGAACTATGTTCATAACGTAAACATATTCGAAACTTAAGTATGTTCATAAGTAAAATACGTCCATATTTAAAATGCACGAAAATTGATACTTCAAATTATATTCTCAACACAACTTTTTAGATGTAATAACATACATTTTACGAAAAATGTGCCAATTATTGAGCATTCCATCAGCTACATGATAAAAATCCTAATGAACATCATAAAATTTTGTTGCATATTCAATTGTCGAAACAAAATTAATGAAACCAAAAGACATGAAACTTTATCCATTTGTCTTTAATCACCTAATTTATATTCGTCATCAATATATTTAGATATTCTTTTTAATATGTTCCCGTATATCATTACGTCTAGTCTTAGAAAGGTCGGTCCACGCATTCAAAATCAAAAAACGGTCCTTTACGGGCCCTGGTAGTTTTCGATGTATATTTATCTCTAACGACGTACGCTATTTTAACCAAAAATCATAATTGATTTAGAAATTATAGAAAATGGGAAATTATCCTAAACTCGTGCATATTTCATTTTGTTTATTTTTTTGTAATTATTGACAGGTTGATTAGTCATTTTTATTGTGTAGAGTGTTAATCATGGATATTATCATGTTCATTATTTTAATTTTAAAGAAATACATGAAACATTTTCCCAATTTACTTGGTTTGGACTTTGTTTTTGGGTCCAAAAATGGCCAATACATATCTCTCTCAAAAACCTGACTGATTAGAGTGGTTGTGTTAACTGAAGAGGATCATGACAGTTAGGGTTTTCATGTCAGTAAATGTCCGTACTCAATCTATTATCGACTACACATATTATTTTCTATCCAACTGTTCGTTTCCTAAATGCAAGCGACTTACAATATGGTGATCAGGGTCTAAACAAACCCCTATTTTGCCGACTAAGTAATAGCAGAGGTGGAGTAACTTAACGATGATGGTTATATATTTTTCGTAAGTCAAGCTTCGTTTTCAACTATCCCTTTCAAATTAGTGGCTTAGAGAATGTATCGGTCGTTTTCAACTTTTTCAATTGATGGATCCAAGCACAAGATTCTCTGTCGACATAGACATTGTGGTGATAACAAAATGGGGTCGTTGTTTGGCTAGCGTTCATTCAAATATCTTTTATTTAGCTTACAAAAAGTCGTTGTCTTGGTTTTTATCGTTTTGTCGGTCGCCTTATTTACTTCTTTGTGTGATCTTTCAATATCAAATTTAAAATAATTTCGAAATTGCAACACGGTGAAAAGTCAAATAATTTTCTTAATTATATACAGGTTGGGTTCACATGAGATAAAACTGTTTTCGTGATGCATGATTTTTACACTTGAAACTTCACAACAAAATATTGTGAAGGTAAAAAACGAATATTCACAGCAAAAACAGTGTGAAAGTTACTTTCACAGTGTTTTGTTGTGATTGTGAAATTTCAATTGTAAAAATTGTGTCTCATGAAAACATTCTTGTTTCACATGATCTCAAGTCATTATATACATGATAACGTTCATAAATATAAGAACATACCACCTCCCTTACAATAATATATATATATATATATATAATTACAGAAATATAAAATTATTACATTTTTTTTTCTATTGAACATGTGACAAGTTTAATTTTAATAATAAAAAATAGACTTATTCCATCTTACAATTAAAAGGTAGAATGGAAAAGTAGTTATGTATCTTTAAGAAAAATTAAAACAAAAATATAAACATTATTTTTATACTTTTTCCTTCCTAAAATAAATTTTGATTTATCCTCGAGTAAATTATATGTAAGTACAACTTATTAAAGTTTCATTTTTTAATTCATGTAACTAAGTGCAAATAAACATAATCAAATAGAATAAACATCTCATTTTAAATATAAAAAATCTAAAATATAATTAGAATAATTATTAAGTTCTAACAAAATACTTAATTATCATCTTAAAGATTTTATTTGTTTAAAAGAAATTGAATTAAATAAATTACATAAAAATGAAAAAATTTTAATAGTTAATTTGATAATAATATTGATTAATTTTTTAATTTTATAATATCTTCATATTTATATTTCATTTAAAAATAAAAACACATTTTTTTTTCAAAACCCCACAAAATTGTATTTATTGTATTTTACTGTATTGCATGAATATTCTTATAGTATTTTAAAAGACGTAAAGTGCTATAAAAGAAATTAAATAAATTGAATAAAAAACAACCAATCAAATTAAAACAACCAATTTTCTATATATTTCTGTAACCATCTATCAAAATCTCTAAATCCAAAAAAGAAAATTAAAAAAAATGATTTTTCAATGAAATCAAATCAAATAATTCGAATATCCAAGAAAATTACTACTAAATGAAAAATCCAACGGCTGAGATTGATGACGATGATGATGATCTTCATTACTCTTGTACAGATCGTACGGCTTCCACAAATGATCCAACGGACACGGTCTCTTCTCATCATGCCTCACCCATGGCTTCCCTTTTCCACTCCAATGTAACAAACTCACCGGACCGGAATGCAGTGACCGGCAGCTGCCCTTCACATTATCCCCTCCAAGTCCATGTTGGTTCCACCGATGATCAATCGGTTCAATATTACCGGCGAACACCAGTAGAAACGGCGGCAACGAACCCAGCTCGTAAATCCTCTTTTTCCTCTGTAATTCCATCCATTTTTCAATTTTCCGGCGATAATTTCCGGCCCGCCATTTTCGCATATCCATCACCATCACGCCGGTGTTGAAATAACAGGGTTTTTTAGACCCGAATGCCCTGGACATAACCGGGTCGGACCAGAAGTTGTCGGTGAAATAGTTGGTGAAGTTTGCGTGACAGTATTCCGGAGCTCCGATAACCCGGTTGTTTTGTAGGGTTATGTTCCATAGCTTCTGAATGTCGTCGACTAAAACGACGTCGGTGTCAAGGTAGATGACCCGGTTAACATTCGGGTCAAGTATATCGCCCAAATAGTTTCGGGCGTAATTCAACGGGTTCTCGAGCGCCAAGCGGATCGATGACGATATCAGATTTATGACCGAGTCTTCCCGGAAAATGTAGACCTTAAAGTTGAGCGACGGGAAGGTGTTTCGAACGAGTCGGGTCAAGACTCGTGGACTCGCTGGGTCGAACTCGGCGGCGATAAAATGGAAGAAGATGTTTTCCGGGCAGGTGGCGTGGCGGAGGACGGAGTGTACGGCGGCGATTGATCCACGGAGATACTCTGAGTCGAGTGTCATTGCGACGTGGATGATTTCCGGCCAACAGTCAACGCCGTTGCGATACTCCGGCGCCTCCGTGAACCCGAAGAAATCATCGGAGATGATTTCGCCATTCGTGGGAAACGAACGAATCCCGAGGCAGAGCAACGGGATGGATAAGAAGAGAAGAACAACCACAACGGCATCAATTGACGACGACGATCGCCGGCAAAACCGAAAATCAACCATCTCCGGTAATGCCTTGAAGCTTTGTTTCTGTTATCGTCAGTAAATCATATCTGCTAAGAAATTGATGGAGAACGAAAAGATTAGTCAAACACCCACTGTGTGTGTGTGTGTGTGTTTTGGTGATAGATATATCACATATATATATGACTAAACTCCAATTTTGGTCCTTGACATTTAGTGAAAACTTTAAAAATGGGACCTTAACTTTGAAAAGTCTATAAATTATCCTTATGGTTTGCATTTTACTTTGAAAATGATCCCTAATCACTAACTCCGTTAAAAATGTATGTTAGAGTTGTTTGCATTTTCCACTGTTTTTTATCTATCTCTTGTCTTTTTATATGTAATACATAAATAATATAATATAATAAATTTTTTAATTCTTTCAAAATTAAGCTTTGTCAAGATATGTAATAATATATGCATAGGATTGGGTTTCGCTAAGAAGAGAATTTACTGTGAGCAGGATCAGAAGAGATCTTTACTTTTAGATTAATTCTAATTGAATGTCAACACTCAACACTATAGAAGTGCACTGAGAAGTATCAGATCAATTCTCTTCTAAAACGCAATTCATTAGTGGACATGAAATTAAAAGTGATCAAAAGTTCAAATCTCTTATTACGCTTCTCACTTTAACTCTTAATCTTAAACAATATTTTACCTAATAGTATATGTGTATATATAATACTATAATGGTACTCGCACAATGTAGCAAGATACATCTCATTTTTAATGTTTCGTTTTATATTTTGGGTCTATCGATGTTATAATGCGATTTTATGTGGTTTTGAGAAAAATAAAATGTTTGTATTTTTGAATGAAATATAAATTTGAAGATATTATAAAATTTTGAAAAAAGCGATATTAGTATCAAATTAACTATCTAAAATAGTTAATTTGATTTTTTTATTGTAATTTAATTGAAGTTTAAAAACGAATTAATTTATTTTTGATTTAATAAAATAAAATTTTAAGATAATAATTAAGTATTATGTTGGAATTCAATAATTATCCTAATTATATTTAGATATTTTATAATTAAAATATGATGTTTATCCTCTAAGATTATGTTTATCTGCAATTAGTTACATGAATTCAAATATGAAGCTTTAATAAGTTGTACTTACGCATAATTTACTTATAGTTTTGAATTTTAAGTAATATGCATTAATAAACAGTATTTTCTGTATAAAAAATAGTTTTTAAAAGTTTTAGTCAAATGCTTTATAAGATAGTATAGATATAGATTGAAGATATAATATAAAGTAACATATTTGGTTATTTTCATTAGAAAGAGATAAAAACACATAATCAATAGATAAGAACAAAGTAGAAAGACAAATAGATAAATAAAAAGACTGAAATGCCCCTCATTTTAACAGACATTTTTAATGAAGTCAATGGTCAGGGATCGTTTTCAGAGCAAAATGTAAACTATAAGGATGATTTATGGACTAATCAAAGTTCAAGTCCCACTTTCAAACTTTTCCTTAAACCTCAAGGACTAAAATTGAAGTTTCCGCTATATATCGTGGAGGGTGTATGTATAGCTCGCTTTGTTTTTCTCTCTGAGTTATTCGGGTGGGGAAAACCGCCGTGGCAAGAAAAGATGATACGGTGGGAGCTGCGAAAGATCACGCGATTCGAGGGCGCGTGAGGATGAGAGTGTAAGTGGGTAGGATACGCGCTAGTTAGGTAGGTGTGTTAAGTAATTAAAATAAAAAATAATAATATTGGAAAAATTATAGTTGGTAGTTATAATGATTTTGATAACTTTTCATATCATTTACCATTAAATAATAATAATAATAATAATAAAATATATTTTGTTGGGTGTTCGGTTTTTGGTATCTTGTAAACTAACCGGTCGTTGATAAGTTAACTGATAAATAAATTATGTTTAACAAAACTAGCTGATAAAAAGGTAAAATAATTAAAAAAGACATTTTAAAAAATTAAATGATTATAATATTTTAAAATATAATTAAAACAAATTCTCTAATTTATACTATATTATAAAGCATTTGGCAAAAACTCTTAAAAACCATATTTTATGAATGAAGTATTGTTTATTGATGCATATTACTTAAAATTCAAGATTACAAATAATTTTGCGTAAGTACAACTTATTAAAGCTTCATGTTTAAATTTGTGTAACTAAACGTAGATAAAAAAAATCAAATACAGAATAAACATCCATTTTAAATATATAAAATCTAAAATATAATTAAGATAATCACTGAGTTGTAACAGAATGTTTAATTATTATCTTTATAAGAAATTATATTATTAAACCAAAAGTAAATTGCATTGTTATTAAATCTAAAGTAAATTATAATAAAAAATTGAATTAAAGAAATTAAATAAAAAATGAGAACTATTAAATAGTTAATTTGATACTAATATCGATTTATTTTAATCAAATTTTTATGATATCGTCAAATTTATATTTCATTCAAAAATGAAAACATTATCGTTTTCTCAAAACCACATAAAATCAAATTATATCAATAGATCCAAAGGATAAAAACTAAACATTAAAATCAAAATGTATTTCGCTGTGCAAATACCCTTCTAGTAATATAATATATTAACTACAAACAAGATGGTAAAAAAAATTAAAAAATATTATATATTGATTAAAAGAATTTCAAATTGATTATTATATGTATTATAATATTTGGATTTGTATAAATTTTGAAACAAATTATTATTTATGATTTTAAATAACTATTATATATACTATGAATAAAAATAAAAATGGTCTACTTCATATATCCTAATTAATCAATAATTTTTCAAAATATATATTTAATAATTAATTTAAATATTTTATTCAAACTATTTAACATATTTTTATCATCTACGAAAGAAAATATGTATAAATTAAATTATTATATTACATAAATATTGTTAAAATTGATATATTTATATTTTATAACTAAATATATTAAATAATAATTAAAAATTTTGATCGGGGAAAGGGGGGGGGTATTTTGGTTGATATCGATAACTATTTTTGAATAATATGAGAAATGGTAAAATCCAGCTGTAACACATAACGTTGGCATACGTGTATAAAAGTGTACTTTTTTCTTAAACCACAAAGATGATGTTTAATTTGTTTGAGCTTGACTTCAAAGATTAAAAGTATTAGGAGGTCCCAAGTTAAAATTCAAGAAGAAATAAAAATCCTTTTATAGCCATGGAGGTTCAAATGCGATGACTCCGGACTATCCGCAAAACAAATGATCGTCCTGAAATTAATCGGTTCACATAACGGGTTAAATATCTAGGTTAATAAAAAAAATTACTTTTTTCGGTTAATATAAAAAACATGCTTAAATTTGGTATTGTCAGCGGTGTGGTGCAGGACTGTTTCGGTGGGGCTCTCACTGCCACATGCCACGTGCCCCACCACCTCCCCTCCTGTGTTTTCCAACACCACATCTGTGGTACCTCTCCACTTAGGGGAACACCATTAAATTAGGTGTACCTTCTCCTACCATATTCTTTTTTTCTTTCTCCAATTTGGTTAATAGTTAAATACCATCTTAAATTGTGGATTAATTTTTTTTTATTTTTTTAACGAAAAAAATAAATAAATATATTAAAAGGACAAAACCAATTATAGAAAGGAAAAAAATAAGTTATTTGAAAAAATAACGTATTTTAATTTGATTTTTATTTTACATAATGTATTTTCAAAACTTTTATTTTGCATAACGTATTTTTAAAATTTTTATTTTGGTATTTAAAATGTACAGTTTTAAATATTTAAGTATCCGGATAACCAGTTGAAGATTATTTTTTGAATAAAAAGTGACTAATTTTAGATTAAAAAAAATCATATCACTAACCACGTCAGCAAATAATACTGAGTTGGATATCACATCACTCGTCATATCAGCATGATAACCAGTTACTCGGATACTTGAATGTTTAAAATTTTACATCTTAGTTACCAAAATAGAAGTTTGACTATAAGAAACAAATATACGAATTTTTGTTCAACGGTGACACCATTGGACTAAGAAAAAATGACACTAACATGATTCGAACATGGGTCTTGGGTGGAATAAAAACCTTGCAAATCAACTCTACCAAATAAAACTTGTTCTCATTTTAGTTTCAAAATGCATACGGTGACACACAATAAATTAATACGGTTGCACTTTTCACAAATCTAATTTTTTTTACCATTCGACGGAAGAATAATACGGTGGCACGTGCCACCATATGCACCACTATAGGTCCGTTACTGATTTGGACATAAGAGCATCTTCAACAACTATGTTATTTAATTTTTTTTTTAAAGATTTTAGAAAAGTTATTTTAACAGTTATGCTATTTAGAAGTTTTTAAGAACTTGGAAAAGTTTGCTTCAACAATTATACTAAAGTTCTATAAAATAGAGAGAGAGAAAAAAATGACGAAATTTCCAAAATTAGAAGAAAAAAAAATGCAACATATCTGTTGGATATACTCTAAAAAGCTCATAAATGACGTGATTGCGTCAATTTCTCGTATCAAACTATGCTTGACATTTTTGTGCAGCTCCGTTTGCCTTTTCTTTAATAGCTATTTTAAGCATTTCAACTTTGACCCGACATCTTAAATTTACAAAAATGCCGACAAGTCAACTTCGTAAGTTTTATAAAGTGACATATTAGCACATCATACTTGAAAAACTATTTTTACAGTATAACGGGTTTTTTTTTATAGTTATGATAATCATGAATGCTGATCCAACTATGTAAATGGAGTTCCTGTAAAATTGTTTATATGATTCTGACAAAAAATTTTTTTGACCAATACATACAGTTATTGAAGAGTTGACAACAGTTAGCGAGATTGAATAAGAAACCTGATGGTTGATGATACCCCATATTTTAGCGATGGACCATTAGGCTAACATCAGATACAATGATTACCTGTTTTTACAGTTTTCAGATACGTGTCGTGTTTTATGATTTCAAGAATTACAAATTTTTTTAAAACGTTAAAATGATAGATAGATTAAAACAATGATTTTTGTCCTTGCAGTTTTGCA